GTGTGTGTGTGTGTGTGTGTGTGTGTGTGTGTGTGTGTGCATGTGTATGTGTATTAGAGAATGGGGTGCAGAGTTGGATCTTCTTTCGCCTCTTCCCATCCATTTGAAGGGCAATTCCTCCTGGGCAGTAGAGATTGGAGGAGGCTCACAGGTTGGGATGGAGAGGGGGAGACAGGACTCACCAATGGGCATGAGACCCATGACCAGCTTGGGGTAGGCGATATTGGAACATCCCACTCGGGCCCCACAGACTCTTTGGCAGATGTCAGGGTCCACACAGCCCACCTCATCTGAAGAAGAAGGGATGGCGGTGGAGTTGTGGGGTCTTGTGCCTCACAAGGTCAGCCCCCTGTTTGCTTCATGACACTATAAGAAAGTGTTCACTGGAAACTTCTAGACCTTGTCTAGAAGGTAAGGGGCAAGTGATGCCTGGTTTCTTGAAAATTTCTTGCCCAGGTACAACATTGCAATCCTTTGGATTTTAGGTCTTACATCTTGATGATGACAAATATCCCTGGAAGGGACCAAGAATGCCTTATTGGTTTTAATTCCCGTAAAAAGGGAAAACAGGATATAAAAATGGCATTCAGATACAAATTTCATCGGCTGAAGTACTTATTACATGTTTGGCCCACAAAACCCAAAATGCTTGCTCTGCAATCTGAGTAGAAAATGCTTTCTAATTCTTGCTCTGGCCCCACCTTACCTAGGAGCACCTTCTCTGAAAACCCCTTGCAAATTGCACCCCAAAGCCCCAAAAGCAGCACTAGCTCTTACCTGGGTACAGGGCCCGGCTGATCATGCCAGGCATGACAATGAAGAACATGGGGAGGATCTTCAGGTAGCCCCCCAGCACCGAGCCTCCCTTGGCATGGGACAGATTCTTGGCAGATAGAGACCTCTGTACAATGACCTGAAATGGCAGCAATGGGGGTGGGTTGTTCACAATGAGGAGGGGCTCAGCTCAGCCACAGGTGAGCCCTGACACTGGTCACTGCCTGTGCCCTGACTCAGTCCCAGAATGAGGTCCAGATCTCTATGCATCCAGGCACCTGGTTTTTCTGCAGGAATCCATCCCAATCCCTGATGGGCCAGGCCAAGCCCTGTGGGGACCCTTACCTGGTCTGTGCACCAACACCAGGTGGCCAGCACTGTGAGCCCAAAAATGAGACCCGGCCATGGGATGTCTCCACTCACAGGGTCCCGAAGCATGTGGAAGGCATCAGGCCGTGGGAGGTGACAGGTGGTATTGGGAACTGTGACATTGGGGATGGCCTCCATGTACCGCTGCTGTAGGCCTGGGTACCAGCCCACCTCCTGAAAACCTGTGGGGAGAGACACAGTGAGAGAAATAGTCCTGAGCCCCCACTAAGCTTGTGCTCACAGCTCCCAGATCTATAACATACCTTAAGGCTGCCGTGGGTATGCCACCTACCAGTTCAGCACACAGGGACACCCTCAACCTTCATTGCACAATGAAGATGAGCCTGGGTTGGAACTAACATGAGGATTGGAAGCAGGACGGGAGATGGGGTTTCAGGCTCAAGATCCCTGGTTTGGAGTAGAGAGAATCCTGCTTTTTTGAGAGCTCTGGATTAGCAAGAGGACATGGGTCCGTGCTCTGGAAAGTTCTAAGCAAGGTGTGCTAATGACAAAGACAGATCAGAGAAAAATATAAGGGTGAAGACAAGGTGAAGACAAGGACCTCTTCCTTACCCAGAAACATAAGGGCCAGGGCTCCCCCAACCATGATCACTGTCTGCAGAGCATCCGTGTAGATCACTGCTGTGAGGCCCCCTGAGGACCAAGGAAAAGCCTCATTAGTCAGCACCAACAGGGGGATCTTCTCTAGGTGCCTTGCCTGTGCTTGGCTATGCAGGGAGACCCAAGATGACACAGACCCTGTGGACAGTGGACTCTGGCCACCTGCCTTTCCCTGCACCTAAAGCTCCCCTCCATCCCACCCTGGGAGGATGGAGGCTGGTCACATGTGTTTATATGGAGTTTTGCTGCACCTGGCGGTGTCTGACTGTGGCCAGGATGCCATAGCTTCCTTTACTATTGCTGTTACTATCCATTCCATTCCTCCTGGTGCTGTTAGCTCTTCCAGGAATGCGTTCTCCTTTCCCTCCCAACTCCCATCCCAATGTCTCCTGTCTTTCAAGGCAAACTTAGCCATAAGTCAGTTTGTCCTATGCAGTGTCCCAGGGTGCACAGCCATGTGTGAGATGCTTTGGGGGAAACAGGAGAGGGGGTGGGACAGTTCATGGTGACTCTGGTCCAGCAAGAGTTCCTTCGTCTGTACCCTGCTTCTTGACACAGGTGGTCTTTTCAGTCCTATCATCTCTCCTGGGCTATCTGCCTGGCTCTGTTTCCCTATTTCTTTCCCTTTTAGCCCCTCTTCCTGTATCCCACTGTGTGACTCAGTCTGTTCCTCTGGGTTTTCCTCTTATCCCACATCTCTGTCTCAGCCCCTTTTTGTCCTTGTCTCTTCCTCTTTTTCATTCTCTCAGGATCGATTTTCTGTGTCCTCTGACCCTCTCTCTTTCTCTCTGTGTCTCTCAGTCTCTGCACACTCATAGGACCTCTCTGCCCTACCTGCAATGGTGTAGACAGCTGTCACCACCAGCAGAATCACCGTGGAGAGATAGAGGTTCCAACCCATGGCTATCTGGATGAAGAGGGCTCCGGAGAAGATGTCAGTCTGTAGAGAACCAGGACCACAAGTCAAAGCCGCAAGAGTCCCTCGTTATGGCTGCTGTGGGTATGTCACCTACCAGTTCAGCACATGGGGCACCTCAACCTTCATTGCACAATGAAGGTGAGTCTGAAGCTCACAGCAAGGAGTATGGCTTGATCTTGTGGATACTGGGAACTGTGGAGACTTTAAAGCGAAGGAGTTCTGCGTAAAGCTTTGCAACTAAGAAAATTTTAATTGGCTGATAGACGGATCTGTTGGCCATGAAGGGAATGGTAAGGAATGAAGTGGAAATTGAGGAAGTGAGGGTGGGAGCTAGGGAAGGAGAAGAAGAGGATATTTAGGAGGAGAGAGTAGGAACTTAGCAGGTTGCTGATGCTCCCTGATAGAACAGAGGTGCTCGTGGCTGCTGGATGAACCCACAGGTGACTCAGTGTGGCAGGAGCCCCAGTGCTGGTGGTCATGAGTTCTGGAAAACCTACATGCTTGGGTTTATTGGAGGCTTGAGGGGGGCAGCTGTGCCTAAGCTGGCAGTATTGGTGGAAGAGGGGCCTTAAGGAGTTTTCAGCCCTGGACCTGGCAACTGAATGATTTATTTGCTATTAGTCCAGGCTTGCTGACTACATCCCATGCCTTATGAGCGCACCATAGGTCTACACCATGGCAGAGTGGAAGGACCTGGACTGGGTCATGGGGCTCAAACTTTAGTTCCATTTCCAGGATGACTGGCCTTCTGTGTTAACTTGGGTTCATCATTTGACCTGTCTGGTTTGTTTCCTGAGTTCGCATTCTAGGCAATTAATGAAGAGTTAATTTCTGAATGAAGAATCAGTTAATGAAAGGATAAATGAATGGATAAACTCTAGACTGTGAGTTCTTTGATGGTTGGGGCTGCCATTCACTGCAAACCTTTATCACTCATCTCTTTATCTGGGGGAGCACATAGGTTACAGGGGTCCTTCCTTCCTTCTGTCTCTCCATTGTCATTCTTTCCTTTCTTCCTCCCATCCCTCCCTTCCTTCCACCCAGCCTGTGATGGTCAGTTCCCTCTCTGCATCAAGTCCATGGCACTGCATTCAGAAGTCCCTCAATCAGCAGTTTCAGGGTCAGGCTGGGCTCCTGAGTGGTACCCACCGATATCTTGGTGAAGATGTAGAGGATGAGAGACAAGACGGACATGTAAATCTGGATCCTCTGGCCCCCGAACCTTTTCTTCAGGTACTGAGGCATCGTGACCACACCGGCTGCGATGTACACAGGGACAAAGATCCAGCCGAGGGCCAGGATCAGGCAGGTTGCCTGGGAGAGTGGGGAGAAGGTCCAGATGGTGAAGAAAGGTGGAGGGCAGCCTCCTACCCAGAGACAGCATGTGCAGTGGGAGAGCCCTGAGCAGGGAGGGAGAGGACCTGGGGCCCAAACCCAGCCCTCCCAGACCTCAGTTGAGTCCCTCTGCCTCTTCCAGGCTTTGATTTCCTCATCTATAAAATGGATTCTCAATTTACCATGCAAACTTCTAAGCACCTCTAAGGTTTCTCTCAGCCCTAAGGCCAGGGATGGAGGGGGTTTCAGACCCTCATTATCCTGGACCATCCAGGTCAGCTTCTTACATTCCACTCAAAGCCTCCCACAGCAAGGCCTCCAGCAGCCCCTGTCCCGGCCAGACCGATGAACAAGCCGCTTCCCACATTGCTGGACATCAGAGATGCTCCGATCTGCAAGGCACAGATGAGGTCAAGGGTCAGGGCTAATGCCAAACAATCTGACATCAGGACCATGAGCAGAGAGGAGGAGGTGCAAAGTTATATTTGTTGGGCACCACACTGGACACTTCTCATGTCCTGATACAGTTATCTCCATAATAACCTGGAGGGAGGGTTTTAATCTTCCCAATTCACAGAAGAAAGAACTAAGTCAGGAAAAATGAAGTCATTGGCTCCAAGTTACCCAGTGAATATGTGGCAAAGTAGGAAGAAGGGAAGCCAGGGAAGTAGGCCAGTACAGGAAGGGCAATGCTCTGCCCTGGGGCCACCAGCCTAAGGATGTCCAGGGAGAAGGAGGCAGCAAAGGCCACGGAATCCCCCCCAGGAGGCTGGGAGGCCCTGCCACGCCCTTAGCTCCTGCTGACTCCAGGGCCAGGCCAGGCAGACTGAGGGGCGAGATACTGAGCACAGGCCAGGCCAGCCTCCTCTGGGCTGAGTTCCTCTTTCTCCAGGAGGACAGCCAGTTCCTCTAAGGCAGCAGAAGCCACAATAATAATGATACTGATGATACCAATCATCAGAGCAGTTGGTGCTTGTTGGTGCTTCTATGTATACAGTCACTCATTTAATCTTCATGACAACCCAGTACTATTATTACTGGGGTTCAAATAAATATCCCCCAGAGGTTCATGTGTCCCTAGCATGGGGCACTATTTGACAGTGGTGGAATCTTTAAGAAGCCTGGCTCAGTAAGAGGTCGGTTGGTCACTGGGAACATGCCCTTGAAGGGAATTATGGGACCCTAGTCTCCTCTTCTTTCTCTTTTTCTCCCTGGTCATAAGGTGGGAAATAATAAACATTTTTTTTGATAAGTTATTTACTTCTAGTATTTGTTACAATAACACACAACTAATTAACACAGTTATTACCCCATTTTACTGATGAGGGAACTGAAGCACAGATAGGTAAGTGGCTCAAGTCCCAGAACTAATAGTACATGACCAAATGAAGATTCAAATCCTGGCTTTCTGGCTCCTGTAACCATTAGACAAATGGTGCTTGACACCTAATAAACATTTGCTCAATGTTATGTCTTATTACTGGATGGGATCCAGGACTGGGAGGGGTTGGGGGCAGAGGGAGGGCCTCTGAGGCCTGAGAGGAGGACTGAGGAGACACTGGGGACAGGACTGGGAGCTGGAGGGAAGATCTAGGCTCCAGTTTTATACCCCATGTCACCTTAACAAAATTACTTTCTTTCATAAAACCTTGTCTTCTTCAGCTATAAAATCTGGACACTCACCTCTTTCCAACACTTGTTCCCAGAGGTGCTAGGAAAGGAAAAGGATTGAGAAATTCAGAGATGAGGTGGCAGAGCAGGGTAAAGGCATGGAGACAGACGTGTGGCCCTATGTTGCTGAGGCCCCTGAGCTGCCTCCACCCCAATATGTGTGCATGCAGTCACACGCACACACAGAGATGCACAAACACACATGTGTACACCCTTGTATTCATACGCTCACACACGCACACTCAAACCCACTACATATGTGCACACACATGTATACTACAAACATGTGCACACACACATGAATATATTCAGGCTCACACATGCACACACCTTATAGACATGTGTCCTCATTCTTACATGCACACTTACATATACACTTCACTTCCACACACATGATGTACTCACATGTATTTTCACACAGTCACTCACCCTCATGCACACACATGTGCATAACTCATGCACTCACACACACATACAGACATGCATGCACACACATGCATAGACATGCACTCACACATACTCATTCTCACTCTCAGGTGGCCCAGGGGTGCTGACAGGGCAGGGCTGGACCACTAACCAGAGCAGAGAGCACTGGGCCCCCTGCTTTAGAGGAAGAGTGTCTCCTTTGAGTGGTGAGGCTTGTCCACCTCACCCCACTCAGGAGACCTGGGCAAGATCATGGGGAAGGCAAAGGAAGGAGGGCATTTGAGTCTCTAGAGGAGGGATGGCTGCTGCTCCTTCAGCTCCTAGCTTTCTAGCCATCTGCCTTTCCTGGAGCACAGTCTCAGGACCCGGTGGACAGCCAGACACATAGCTCCAGCAGTAGTAGACAGACCTTCCTGCGCTGAGGGGTGGTTGTGAGCCCATCCTCAAGCTGAACCCAGGTCTTGGTGCAAGAGGCACAGTTCACAGCCCTGGGCAGCACATCCTCTTTTCCTCATGGGTCCCACACAGTGTGGGGGACCGTACAGCGACCCTGCTACTCAGAGGCCTGGGGTTTCCTCATGTCCACAGAAGGACCCAGAGCTCTGCCCTCTGCAAGCAAATGGGCAGTCAGCCTGGGTTCCTAGGCCCTCTCCCGACCCTGTCAGAGGAGCCTGCTGTCCTGCTTTCGTCTTGGCCTGAATTCTTTCCAGGGCTGTGATTAGGGGCCACTGGCTGAGCAGAACCACTCCAAGGGCTTTTCTTTCTTCTAATGTGGGTGTGGCTGGCAGCTCCAGTGACCTGTTCCTGTCCCTGTGAGCTTCCAGGCCCTCAACACCCCCACCGCCTGGGGATTCTAGACAGCTTGAGAAGTTCCTGCCTCTGGTTCTTCCTGCCTCAGATACCCATGCTTACCAGAGAGCCCTGCACCCTGCTGGATTTTCTCCACTCTCAGTGCCTAGTGGTGGGTAGGGAGAGTGGTGAGAATCCAGACAGGTGGGAAGGTGGCTGGGGCTGTGCGTGTGAGTCTGAGTGTGGTATTGGGAGAGTGTGAATGTGTGAGCAGGGATAGGAGTGCATGTGTAAGAGTGTGACTGAGTGTGTGATTGTCAGTATGTGAGCGTGAGGGTGTGAGTGTGAGGGTGTGAGTGTGAGTGGGACATGCCTGGGTGTGTAGACGGCTTCTGTTTCCACCCAGCTGATGACTCTCCTGTTAGATTTCTGGGGCAGGGCTGGCCTCCCTCCTTCCCATTCTTGGAGGAGGAAGTTAGTTCTGAGGACAGGTGGAAATGCTGGTGGGTTGATGGGAGAGATTGGGGATTTTGTGACGGTTTGGAGATTGATTTCTTGAGGTGGCTGGGATTTCTGCTGATTCTCCTCATTTGCCTGTTCTTTGCTATAAGCTGATGTGCCACCTCCCCCTCCCCCAGTTTTTTTTCTACCTCTCCCTCTAATCCATGCCACTGCCTGCAGCTCAGGGCTTCCTCTGAGCTCTTGAAGGCCCTGGTGCCAAATCTAGGAGGTATCCACGGGACTCTTGTCCTGGGTAGCAAGGTCACTTGTTTGCTGGATGGATTGGAGTGGGAAGCTGTTCCCTTGGTCCAGGGAGAGAGGCAGAGAAGAGTTTGTGGTTGGTGGGAGGAGGGGGGAAGTTGAGCCTCCACATGGAGAGGGAAGGGAGAAAGGTCCACTCACCGGCCACCAGCTCATGGATCTTCCCGCCAGGAAATAGCCCCCAATGGTACCTCGGCTTGCACGGATGGACGACTGGAAAGGAAATAGCAAGAGACAAAGACTTCCTGCACTTCTCCCAGCCTCTGTCATCCACCCAGGCACTGAGGGGATGTGGAGGGCGAGACGTGAGGCAGGGCAGAGCTGCCTGAGTGCTGGCAGATTTTGCCATTTTAAGTTGTGCATTTTGAGGAGAGCTGCTTCCTCTCTGTGAACCTTGGTACCTTCCCCCAGATCTGGTGTGAAGAGCAGAGGAGGTAAAGGGTGTCCAAGGTCTTCATGAATGGCCAATGCTGTGCAGGTGTGCCCATTGGTAATCAGTGTCCCCTTCCTTCCCTCCCCGCAGTGTCTTCCTTTAGGACATGGTTTGGAATCTCAGCCTCTGGTGCATAGTGACTGCCTCTCCTCTCCTCCCACGTGGTCTCCCACACCAGAGAGGGGGCAGCCATTCCCCCCAGTCTGACTGGGATTCTGGGCTTTCGTCAGGATGATGGGCTCTCTCTGGGGGATTCCCTTGGCCTGGCCTGAAGTCCATCGGGACCATGGTGGGAACCAGAAGGTGGCTAGCCTGTTTGGAGCCATGCTCTGAAGAATGAAGGGGAGCGAGGAGTGCAAGCCTGTTCTCTGGGGACCCTAGGCCAATGCAGCGGGCAGAGAAGGGTGAACTCAAAGCATGTACTCCAATGCAGAGGACAGCAGTTCTCTGACTAGGTCTGAGATTCGAGAAATCCTTGAAGGTAAGAAGGAAAAGGGGAAGAAATTAGTGACGAGAGGGCCTTGTGCTTGTTAAGCTTTTGCTTGGACATTCACTTCTGATCTTCCTGGAGGCCATAGGAGGGACACAAATTCATTTCACAGATGAGAAAATGCAGCACCGGGCAGGAAACAGCTTGTCCAGCCCATAGTAGGATTGGCACTTCTCCCTCTGGCCACCTCCCACAAGCCACTGAGCACCTGCCTGCTTACTTCTTCTTGCACCAGCTCTGGGAGGCAGGGACTGTCACCTCCCCTTACAGGGGAGGGGACTGAAGCTCAGAAAGTGTTCCTGACCTCCATACAGGCCAAGCAGTGATTAAATGGGACTTGGATCAGAGTCTGCCTGGCAGCTGTCTTAAGATGCCGGCCTCTCTGCAGAGTGTTATGGTGACGTTAGCAGCCAGGCACCATGCCAAGTGCTTAGATGTGTCCTGTCACTGAATGATCACAACTTTCTACAGCATTGATCTTACTTTCCATGTTCACATTAGACAACCGAAGATCACAGTGGCTTCTAGATTCCCAGGGTCATGTGACTCTGATTGCTGGAGTTGGGACTTGAGCTCAGGGCTCCCTGACATCAAAGCCAAGTCCTGTCCAGGGCCACGACTCCTGGGATCAATGGAGAACAGAGGGACTTGGAATATGTTTGGTGCCCTTTAGAATACATGAGCTCCAGCTCTTTGACCCAGATGTTAACAGGACTGAGAGAGGGCTGGCCGTCAGATTTTCTCCACATTGAACGTCTTTGAGTTGGAGAAGGCAGGAGTGAGGCTCAGAGTGGTCAGGGATGTTAGGACCAAAAGTGTCAGATGCATACAGATAGGGAGATGGTCACAGGGGCTCCAGGCCTGGCCAGCCTCTGGCTCACTGAGTGACCTCTGGCAGGCCACAGTGCTCTCTGGGCCTCAGTTCCCTCCTATGGAAGGTTAGGTGGGGGAGGACGATTCCTGAAGTCAGTTCCATCTCAGTTTCCAATGGCTCTGTGATCCCTTTCCTTCTGCTCACCTCTGCCTCCAGCTCCCACCTCCCTTCCCAGGCCCTGGCCTCAGGCCCCACTTACCCAGATCCCTACAGCAGTGACAAAGACAAAGTAGGTGACCACCACCCCAATGTCGTAGGCATGCAGGCTAACTTCAGGGCCCAGTGCTGAGCGCGGAGCTCTCTCCGTCCTGAGCAGATTCCCTGAAGCTCTGGGCCCCATTGCTGCCAGCTCTTGCTCGTCTGCTACAGTCAGTCCCCAGCTGGCTGGACTTTGAGGCGCTCCTGGATTAATTCCTTTCCTTTAATAATTAATCAGCCCCAGGCTCCATTAGCCTTGGAGAAAGCTCTGAAGCTGGCACATAAATTACTCCCAACTGCCCCCCATCCCTGTAGGACTCCTGCCCCCACCCCTTTCCCTGTTGCCCCTGCAGATGCACACACAAGTACACACACACATGCACATGCACCCTCATTACCCTCAGAGGGGCAGGAGCAGGAGCAGGAGGGGAAAGGAGCAGAGTCACAGATCCCAAGAGCTTGAAGCGACTTCAGAAATCAAGGTGTTCAAGCTCCCACTCTGTGGAGGGGAAACTGAGGCCTAGGGAGGTAAAGCCAGAGCTGGGACCTGGAATCCAGCTTTCTAAATCATCTGTTTGATGTGAGTTTCCTTCACCCAGTGGGAAAGAGATGAGGGAAGAGAAAGGAATCCACCACCAGGACCCTTGCAAGGCAGCCACCACCTCATGAACTCCCACGTGTAACCCGTGAGGATGTCATGTTCCCTTTCCTACTCTATAGGACACTGAGCCCCAGGAAGAGACAAGAGTTATTCTATGGAACAGAGCAGGACCTTCTGGGCAAGGCAGGACCAGAGTTCACATCTTCTGATGCCAGGTCCACACCCTTCTCCTGTGCTGTGACAGATGGAATGGGTGGGTCTTCCCTGAAGAGAACATAGAATTCCCCGGGCCCAGGGAAGACCAGCTTTGTGTACTCAGGGAGCCCACCTTCTAGTCCCAGCTGCACCTCTCACCAAATGCAAATCACGTTGGGCAAATTGCTGAACGTCTCCAGCCTGAGTGTCCTCATAATGGGACTGTGCCTTGCCTGCCTTGCAATGCCAATGAGGTTAGGATGTGCTTCTGTAAACCTGAGCTACTGCCTGCTCTTGGGGTTAGTATGAAGAAACTAAGGAGGCCAGAGCCTGGGCACGAGGCATGCTCGTTTACCTGGTCCTTCCAAAACAGCTGCATTTGGGACACTTCAGTCTAGTATCCTCTTATATGCACCTGCCACATACACAGGCCAGGGGCTCAGGTTGGAGCAGGTAAAGGATCCCTGCTGGCCCTGAACCTATGGCACCCCCAGCATCCCATGAGAATCCTAGGGCTGGGTGTAGGAGCCCTTTCCTTTTCTGAGATAAGGAAAGTGAGAGGTAGGGTTCTAAACATTCTCTTCAAATGTTTAGAACCAGAACTTTAGGCATAGGCCACACTGTACTTTAAGAAGCGGGGCATTGATCTGGGAAGAAGGTTAGGTTAGTTCATAGCTGGGACAGGGTCAGAAGAATTCAGAACCATTAGCATTAGATGCCAGAAGGGTAGCTCCAAGTGTTTGCAGAGTAAACGTCTTTCACATCTGATGATGAATAAGAGTTTATCAGATAAATGAGAAGAGCAAGGGGAACAGGAGAAGAGTTAGCAATATCAGGAAAATGTGAGGGGCCAGATGTCATAGAGGGTTGGTCAGACAGCTCCTGGCGGTGAGCTGAGTGGAGGAGCAGAGGGAGATGAGGCTGGAAGAGCCTTGGGTGTTAATCAGGGAGGGGAGAAAGACAGGACTGAGCTCAGGTCACTGAAGATGCCACAGTGAAGGCTCCCAGAAAGAAAGAAGGGAAGAGAAGGGAAGGGGAGAACAGCAGAAGACTGCTGAGTCTGCACTTCCTCCTGCCTTCCTCACCAGGAAGGGCTCACCTTGACCCCAAGGACTGCACTGCTGCCTACATGCCCCATGTCCCCCTCATGGGTTTTTAGGCTGAGCCTCCGTCTCCGCACATTTTGCCTAATTCTAAACCATCAGATTTGGGCACACAGGAGCTGTGGCAGGGAAACTTGGAGAATTTGGGAGCATCCCCCTCAGTTATGAGGACCAGGGTCTGACTCCAACCTGAGACATGGAAATGGCAGGAGCTTCAGCTGTGGTGTGGCTGGGAGGTGCTGGTTTGGGATTGTCCTGCAAACTGGGGTGGACAAAGATTGTGTAAGAATTGTGAGTGTGTGTGTGTGTGTGTGTGTGTTATGACTAGATGGATGAAAAAGACTAGGAGATCTTCTTGGATCCTGTCCATAGGCCACCGTGATGGGGTAGGGCCTCAGCCTACACAATCTGAAAGTGAACACTGAATTCCAGAGGCTGCGGAAGAACTGAACTTGGTGCTTTGTCTGGGGTACACTGGAGAGTTCTCCAGGCTGAGGGATCCTGGGTACTCCCAGGAGTGTTCTCAGGAAAGAGTCAACCTTCTCCCTCCTCCAGTCCATGAGCCAGAGTCTTTTCAGAAGAGTCCTACTCCAGTCAAAACTTTCTTGCTCCCTAAAACCTCTCCCTCTTCCTCACACTGCAGCTCCTAGAGGTCAGAAGTTGGGCTTCACAAGAGCAGAGGAGGTAAATGGAAAACAGCAGGCCAGCAATATCTCCTTTTCCCGAGTCAGAGAGACCTGAAGGGCCTCTTTCTTGATGCTGCCTGCATGCTCCTGGTTTCCTGCCAATGCTCTTCTCCCCAAGAAGAATCTTGGGCAGTCCCTCTGACTGTATCTCTGACTGGCCTCCGCCCTGGCAGGTGTCCATGGTTGGTTTGGGTTTTGAATTCAAATTTGCCTGACTCTAAAAGCTTCTCTATACCACTGTCCATTCCCTCCTGGCCTTCCACTAGGGAGCAAGAGTCTGGAAGGGGCGTCTCACCTGGTGGTGTAGGAATCAGCTCTGTGTTCCCTCTTCAGACGGGAGCTCTGAGCAGGTTGCAGAGGTGGCTGGGCTGGGGACAGGAGTCCCTCTGTTTCTGGGCCCCAGTTCTAGAGACCTTGCCAGCCCCTGTTCTGCCACCCTAGCCCACTCACCCCTCCTTCCCTGCCCTGGGACACTGTTCTTTTCACATACCTGTGTTCAGCTCAGTTCAAATCCAAACACAGCTCCATGAAATTCTAATGTGTCAGTCCACACCACTCCACAACTCCAAGGGCATCATTTTCCAAGAACACAATTCCAGTGACACCCTGGCATTGATAAGGCAGTGCCTGTG